GAGGGCAGCAACTGCCTACACTTCTCTCCTTCCGAAAAGCATCCGTTCCCATCTGACAATCTCATTTCGGCGGGGAAGTCTCTGCTTTGTTGCTCTCATGTCCCCGCGTGACCCCGAGGGCTGATCAAGCCCGGCTTGGGTTTCTCTACCAGCTCTGGTCTCCCACAGTACGAAACCTCAGCGCGCTTTTCCTCCTGGTTAGCTGCGCTCATCATTTTTTTTTTTTTGGTTAACGGGTGATAAAAAACCTCCACCCCGACAGGTCTGTGTCATGAGTGGGGCTTTGAAAGGGCTTATTTTGTAGCGAAGTGAGAAAAAGCTGAGCTTATCTAACCACATGCCTGTGGTGGGCAGGGGTAGGTGTCTATTTCTGAAGAAACCTCAGAAGGGGAAGAAGAGTCCTGAATCCACGGAGGGCTGCTGACAAAGCGGGGGCAAAGCTTCAGCCCCGCAAAGAGAAGGAGAGAAAGCAGCTTTCCTGCTCTGCTCCCCAAACACCCAGCAGCAAAAGGGTGTTTGGTTTTGGTCCTGTCCCACCCCTCAGCTCAGAGGGAGCAGTTGTCTCTCCGCTGTTAATTTTTAATAGATTCTGGAAAAAATCAGAGGGATTTCAGGGAAATAAGCTGATTTTCAGCCTGCACATACAGAATCACAGACTGGTTGGGGTTGGCAGGGACCTTAAAGATCACCCAGTTCCAACCCCCCTCCACTGAGCCCGGGCAGCTCTGAGCTGGCTCACTGGCTCCAGAAGCAGCGTGGAAGTCGCCTGTGGAGAGCCACAGCACCTGAGCACGAAGCTTTTCTCGTGGTGAGGCTGCTGGTGGGCTCAGCACCAAACACAGGATGTGGTTGTGCCCTGGCACAGAGGTGCCCATCCCAGAGCCGCCCCCAAAGCATCTCTCAATCACGTTTTTAGCTGGAAAATAGACCTAAGACAACATCAAAGTCCAGACAGGAGCGATGCTGCTCTTGTACCGCGGAAAGTCATTTTACCTTCGCAGCAGAGAGTCCCAACATCTGGATTGAATCACTGTGTCCTGCTGCAGTCACCAGATGCTTCAACATCTGTGGAGTCCATGGGAAATGCTGAAGTGCCGCTTGGCTATGATCAAGTTGCAAAACCTCTGTTAACCTTGAGCACAATCTGAGGCTCTGACCCATTTCAGATCGTTAATGGGGCATGCGATTGTAACGAGAGCACCTCACCAGGAAAACCACACTTCCCCTGCAGCAGGAAGGAGAAGAGAGGAGAACAGGGTTTGGTTTGGGTCTGGGCAGCCTGACCTGCCAACCAATTTTGCTCACAGAGATGATTTGTGGGAAGACAGACCGATCAGCAGGTGCTCCTGGCTGCACCGAGGAGGAGCAAGAGACCCAAATTATCTCCCTCAGGCAGCCATCCTGATGTTTTGGGTTATTTCAGAGCTAATTCAGGTGCAACCATCACAGGCAGAGCAACAGCTCACTATTTTCAGCTTCTCATCCATGCCTTGCAAGACAACTCCTGTCGTCCCTGTCCTGGCAAAGCCCTGCAGACAGACAGGGTCTATGGGCTGGTTTGCCTTTGGCCTTTGCCAGGGATCTGCAGTAAACTGGGCAACTGGCTACTGTCCAAAGAACCACCCCAAGCAGTCACACATGGCAGAGCTACACAGCAGCAAGAGGCTTGCACTGCTCCAGCTGCACAGCAGAGCCCCGGGGTGCTCCCTGCCAGCCCCCCCACCCCCAGGCACTACACCCAGCTGGGTGGGTGGTTTGCACCAAATTTCACAGGCATCCACTAAGACCACAGGGACCAAACCATGGTCTAGGCTCATGTCTAAACTGAGCCAGTCAAAGCCAAACCTTGCACTGAAGTGCTGCCAGCCTGGATCTGGAGGGGCCAAGCAATGGCAGCTCAGCACCTCCCTCCAAGGCTGCTCTTGCAGACCATCCATCCCCTTGCACAGGCTCTGCTTTTTGTATCAGTTCCCCATGGGAAGGAGCAGGGGATGCAAGACTGCTCCTCTGTGCTCGCACAGCTCTGAGGGGTCCAGTGGCCCTAAGGACACCCAATAGTGCTGTTTCAGACTTGGGAAGGGGGAAGCACGTGCAGAAGGCAGCCCTTGGATGCTCGGAGCAAGGCAGCTTCCATTGTGCTCCCACTGGTACCACGGGTGCCAACCAGCAGCATCAGCCCCCGGAGTGCCCTGTCACACACCATGGAGAGGGATGCCAGGTATCAGCTTCCAGGTGCTGGATCAGCCTCAGCAGCTGCCCGTCCCCAGCCTGCCCACACCACAGGCACGTCAGGGTCCCTGCAGCTTCCCACGTTTGGTCAAAGCCTGTGCCAGGTGTGGGCTCATTTTCAAGGCATGGTCAGGCTCGGGGCAGGCTCAGGTCAGCACGCCAAGGGAGGCACGGAGATGGTTGCTGTCTCCCTCCCATCCCAGGCTGGAGCAGCTGATCTCCCCTCCTCATCCCCACCATCCTCCTGGGGCTGACCTCTCCCAGCCCCCGCTGCACAGGGGGGCATTCTGCTCCCTGCAAACAGCTGTGACCTCCTCTGGGGAGACAGGATTAACGCTTTCCTCACCCCCTACCCCCAGCCAGGCTGCATCCACCAGAGCCATGCTCTAGGAGAAGCTGGACCACTGGGATGCAGAACAAGAGCCCCAAGGTCGCAGTCCCAGCCAAACACATCCCTGCAGGGACTAGCGGGGCACCTACTTCTGCCAGCCCAGGGGACACACCACGGGAGAGCACAGCATTCCTTGCTCCCCTCTGGCAGCAGCAGCTGCCCAGCCCTGCTCCAGCCAAGCCCCGGCCCCACGTGCAACAGCCGAAATGCAGACCTGCAACAGATGGGAAACGCCACAACTTTCCAGTCCCTGCTGCTACCACAGGGTCAGCAGCTTCGCTCCGCAGCAGCTCCACAGCTGCTCAGCTATTTTCCCACTGAGCTGCACAGTTAGTTTTCCTTCACCCCCTCCCATAAAGTTTTATTTAGCCAGCAATGTCCGGACTAGCACATGGAGCTGGAGCATCACACGCAGAGCTCAACTTGGGGTTGTTCCCAGGGAGAGTGGGCAGCTGGAAGAGCTGGGACACATCGACTGGGAGATAAAACACCACCATAGCCACATTTCCTTGCTCCAGATAAGCATCACTGAACCTGCTGCAGGATTAAGACAGCAGCCAAGAAGTGTGTACAAGGAAATGATGCCCAAAGCTCTTCAGGCTGAGACTTGCAGTACTCCAGAGCTGGCATCAGGAGGGACTTTGTGGTATTTCTCAGTTGACCTGCAGGGTCCAGCACAATACACAGCATAGCAGAACCTCTGTCCTCGACTTCACACACCTGCCCAGCATCCCCAGGCACCCAGGCTCCATACTCCTCACCCTGCCAGGCTTTGCTTCCCATTGGCAAGAGGAGGAAGGTCAGAGCTGATCCTCCCCAGCTGCTCCCACAGGAGACACCGGCAGCGACACCAGCAGCCACTCAATACCCAGTTGCCAGGAGGTGTCTGGAATTAATCCGCAAAAGAATCAGGCTAATTACCATGCAAATACCCAAGCGAGGGATGCCATCCCCAGCAGAGCAGCCCTCGCATCTGCCCCTTGGCAGGCACCTGACGGAGCAGCAGCAGGGAAACGCCGATCCCGCACCGCGGGCTGCGCCTCGAACCTGTAAAACCACAAAGTATTTACAGCCAAGAGCAAACACACCAGAACTGCAGAGGTGTCACCTCAACGCACCAGGGTAAGAACACCTTGTTCCAGCCACTGACTCACTAATTATACAGGCAATGCCAGCGAGCCAGGGCTGCCAGAGCCGGTGTGCCACAGGGCACCTGCGAGCGCATGGCTATCAGACGTGTCCTCCCCAGGCAGCCCTGCCCCGACAGCGCTTTGACCTTCACTCAGTTGAATCATTCATTCATCCGCCGCCTCGCTCCTCCAGTCTTCTTCCTCCAGAGAGGCTTTCCTGCACTTCCCACCAGTGCCACAGAGCCTTCCAAGCTGGAAGGCTGACCCAGCTCTCGCCTCAGTTTTTTGGGAGACTTGTAAACCCCCTTCTCCAACTTGGGAGTCTCCAAGCCCAGCCCGGGCGTTCTCACCAGGATGCAGGCTCCCGTCCTTGGGAGCGCCGCCAAGGTTGTGCCCACAAGTTTCCCTCTCCTCTGCATCCATGCAGAGCCAGCAGCACCTTCCGAGCACACCTGCAGCAACAACCACCCCAGCTCCAGCGCCTCCTCCTCACCCTGCCCACTGCCATCGCCTCGCAGCAAAGCTCTGCTGAGCCCAGCTCTCTTCATCATCCTCCGGTTCCGCTGCCAGGCGGAAGGAGTGGGGAAAGGATTTGTATACCAAGATATCCTAAAGAGATTCAGCGCCAAGCCAGAGCTGTGCAAAGCCTGGGAGCACAGCACATTCCCTGTGGAGCCACCTTCCCCATGGAGGAGCTCTGGGCCAGGCAGCCCAAAGAAGAGGCAGTGGTTGGGCACCATTTCCCAAGGATACCCACGGAGCGTGGGGGACAGCCTTGCTTGTGCCCAGCAGCTCCCAGGATGGAGCTCTGGATGAAGCAGTGATGCTCAGCCCTGGGTAGCCAGCTCTGTTGCAACCTCTAGAGATGCCATGAGTAGCTTTCCAAGAACAAGTACAGCTTCAGAGGGGAGGGGAGGAGAGGGCAGCCTTTGGGCCAGCCAAGGGGGACCCCAAGCCAGTGCCCTGGTTCTATCCCATCCAGTCTCGGGGCTTCCAGAGGAAGCAGCTCTCAGCATCGTGCTGCAACTGGTGCTCAACACTCGAGGGGCCAGCGCGACTCCCTGCTTCGGGGGCAGGTACAGCCTGGCCGGTTCTGCTTGGACGTGGAGGAGGATGAGGGATGCGCTGCCTGGTCCCCAGCGGGATCCCGCTGACAGCAGCGCCCCGGTGCCCTGCGGGACACCCCGCTCCGCTCCCCGCCGAGCCCAGGCGGTGCCGTCGGGGCGTCGAGGCCGTGTCCCCGCACTCACCTGTGACAAGGACGGCTCTGCCCGCCACCGGCAGGAGCCCGCGGGGCGCCGCCCGCCACAGCAGCAGCCCGGCGGCGGCGGCGGCCAGGGCCAGCCCCAGGGGCAGCGGCAGCCAGGCGCGGCACAGGCTCTGCAGCGCGGCCAGCAGCGCCAGCGGCAGCACCAGCCCCCGGCCCAGCGGCGGCCCCAGCCCCCGGCCCGGCCCCGGCGCCCGCCGCGCCGCCCGCAGCGCCAGGCTGCCGGCCAGCGCCGCCCACAGCGCGCCGTGCGCCCAGCGCTCCAGCCCCGGCTCCATCCCGGTCCCGATCCCGGGCCCGGCACGGCCCCGCCGCTGCCGCTCGCCCGCCCCGCCGCGCCCGTTTATACCCGCCCGGCGGGGGAGCGGGGCGGGGCGGGCCCGGCCGCCGCCAATCGGAGCCGGGCGGGACGGCGGAGCCGGGCACCGGCACGGCCGGGGATCGGCATCAGCACCGCCGGGGCATCGCCACCGGCACCGGCACCGGCACCGGCACCGGCACCGGCACCTCCCGGGCCGGGCGGGAGGGCGGAGCACCTCGGTACCCGCGGCTCGTCCCGGCTCGGTGCGGCGCGGCTCGGGACATCACGCCGCCCGGCTAGGCACGGCTCTGCGCGGCTCGGCTCGGCTCGGCTTGGCTCAGTCCTGCTCAGGAGATTGTGCTGCCCAGGTAGGTAAGTGCGCTCAGCGTGGCTCAGCCTGGCGTGCCTCAGCTCAGCCCGGGGCATGATGCCACCCGGGCAGGCACAGCTCAGCTCGTCTCAGCCCTGCTTAGGACGTTGTTTCAGCTCACTAGGCACGGCTCGGCTCGAGTCAGCATGGCTTAGCTCGGCTCAGCCTGCTCAGGACATTATGCCGCCTGAGTAGGCACAATTCAGCTTGGTCCAACTTGGCACAACTCAGCCCAGCACAGCATGGCTCAGCACAGATGAGGACTTGCTGATGTGCCAGATAGGCACAGTTCAGCTTGGCATGGCTTGACTTGGCTCAGATGAGCCCTGCTCAGGACATTGTGCCACTTCATTAGGTGTGATTCAACTCGTCACAGCTCGGCTCAGCTCAGTTTGGGACATTGTGCCACCTAGGTAGGTGCACTCAGCTCAGCTCACTTCAGCACGGCAGGCACAGCTCAGCTCGACGTGACCTAGCAGATCTTGGGACATCGTGCTGTGTACAGCATGGCTGTGCTCATCTTGGCACAGCTCAGGACATGACACCACCTAGGCAGGCACATCTCAGCTTGACACAGCTTGACTTGGCTTGGCTCAGCAGGTCTTGAAACCTCATGCTACCTAGATAGGCACAGCTTAGCTCAGCAGAGCTTGGCATGGCTCAGCATGACTCAGCTGAGCACGGCTTAGGACACCACATCATTTCACCCAGGTAGGCACAGCTCAGCTTAACTCAGCTCAGTTCAGCTCAGCGTGGCTCGGCTCGGCACAGCTCAGCCTGGCACAGTTCAGCTTGGCTCAGTCCAGCATGGCTCAGCTTGGTTCAGCGTGGCTTGAGATGTTGTGGCACCTACAGCACAGTTCAGCTCAGCTCGGCTCAGCACAGCTTGGGACATCGTGCCGTTGGGTAAGCACAGCTCGGCTCAGCCCTGTTTGGTTTGGCCTGGCACAGCTTGGCCTGGTGCTTTTGCTGGGCAGAGCTTCCTGGCAGGAAGTGGCACTGCATCCAGGGCAGCTCCAGGTGGGAGGGAGGCTCCCCTGCCCCCTGCCCGAGCCAGCACCAGTGCCACCAGCACCCACGTCCTGCTGGCACATGGGGAGCAGAGGGCACAGCCACCCCCAGGACCACCCCTCCGTAAGGTGGTGCCCCCAGGGGCAGAGGGTGATGCCCCCAAGACCCCCTGGTCTGCTGGGGAGCACCAGGTGGGTGCTGGGCCACCTGGGTCCCAGTGCCTTGGCCAGCCACACTCAGTTCACCCCGCTGCCCAGAGCAGGCAGGTGAGGTGTGAGGCCCTCCCTGCTGCTCCCTGCGACTGAGGGTCAATGTCCCCTGCATGATCCCGAACCATTTCTCAGCACCCACAGCGGGCAGCACCCTGCCCCCCACCTACCTGTTGTTATTCTGGCACTCCAGCATGGCTTCCATGCTGGAAGGTCAGCTCCTCACTCGTCCCAGGGAGGCTTGTGGAAGCCCTGCCACGCAGCGCCGGCTGCCAGGTCTGTGCCATCTCCAGCGGGTGCCGGCAGGAGCTCCCTGCACCACCCAGCTGGGGGGGCAAAGTCCTCTCCTTCCCAGGTTAATTACACAGGGTAATTGCTGCCTCTGGGCTCGCTTTATTAAGCACCTGCTTTAATATTTCACCGAGTCTCCGTACTCGGTGATCCTTCGTGCGTCCCTGCCATGGGGCTGACCCCCGGTGCCCTCCGCGTGGGCTTTCACGTGCCAGCATCAACACCACTCTCCCTCCTGGAGGAGCCAGGCCCTGCCATCAGCACTGGCTGCCCCACCAGACCCTGCAACCCCTGGTGTGCTGGTGGTGGCACGTGCCAGGGATACCTGTGCCATCCCAACTGGAAACAACCTCCCTGCTGCTGGCAGAAAAACACATTTCATCAGCGGCGATGGCAGCAGCAGCAGCGCTGCAGAAGTGCAGCGTCAAACAGGCTGGGGTGGTTTTGCCGGGGTGTGGTGGTGGCACCCAGCTGAGTGCTCAGTGCTCAAGGGAATGTTGGGAATGCCGGCGAGGTAGAGGAGGTGGAGGAGGAGGGATGCAACAGCATATCCGCAGGCTCTCCCTCAGGAATCTGCTCACTTGCGGCCCTGGGCTACTAAACTCGGTGAAAACAATGGAGGTGGCCACAAGGCAGAGCCTCAGGGAACTTGGCCTCTGAACTGGGCCCAGTTCAACTTCCTCATCCATCACTTCAGTGGGGCTTGAAAAATCCCCTTGGAGAAAGGTTGCTTTCCCAGAGAGAGCGTCCCCCGCTGCACTGACCAAGCCAGAGGTGCTGGGGCGTGCAAGGGTGCAGGGGCAGGGATACACTGTTCTACAGGGACAGCCACAGCCTGCAATCCATACTGCATGATGGTGCTTCACAGGGGGTAGATGTGGCTATTCCCAAAACACAACTTGAATTCCCATAATCCCCTTGAGAGCTGGGTTGGATGTCCGTCCGTCCATCCATCCATCCATCCATCCATCCATCCATCCATCCATCCATCCATCCCTTCCAGAACTCCTCACACGTGGTCCCAGGGTGCCGTTCCTGTGGGATGCCTCAGGACAGGTTGTAGATGCCATGGTGTTCTCTGTCATGGCAGTCAGAGTGTTCCATGGATGCTCTCACCACGAAGTCCGGTGCGGTGGGGCTGGACCAGCAGCACCGTTTGCTGGGCCTGTCTGTTCCCCAGCTTTCCCCCAAAAGGCTGGTGTGTGGTCAGGGTGACCTTGGTGGACCTTCCCTTGAAGACAGCACCTGGCCTGGTTCCTCTGCCCATTGCTCAACGCCGAGGGTGCCTCCCAGCCGTGCCGTGCTGTGAGGAAACACCGGCGATAGCCCCATTACCTTTTGACCTACTTGAGCTCTTCCGTACCCGTTCTGCTAATTACAGCTCAACTTCTGCAGGGGAAGCGGGGCTGGTTCGACCACAGCCACCTCCCACACCCTTCCTGGGGCTGCTCATGCAGGTCCCCAGGAGGGGGGACACACATCTTCCCAGTGCTCCCCTTGCCCTAGGCTGTTCCTCCAGCTCCTGGAGCCTCCCATGACTAACAGGTTTTGAGATAATTGTTCCACTCCCTAATCTGATCTGCAGAAGATTCACCACATTGTTTTCAAAGTGCCATGAGCCATTTCCAGGGGCTCTAAGCCCGTGAGGGTTGTGATTCATCCACATGCTGCTCCCACAGGTACTTAATCTTCTCCAAAACAGCAAGTCCTTTTTCCAGGGCTATTATCTCCTCGGGAAACACCACCCAGGCGAGCGAGAGCCTAACAGGGCACTTTTGTCTGTTCGGTGCTGATGGAGATTTGTGCCAGTGCTTGCTTCCTCACACAGGCCATGAGGTATAGTCCTTCCCTGGGAGCAGTTGTCTCAGGAGAGGGGACCGTGGGGCTGGAACCCCCTTGGATGTCTCTTGTGGACCATCAAACCCACAGGAAAGAGGATGTGCCTTGCTGACTGTAGTAGCACACAGGGCTCCTTCTGTCCCACACCATGTCCTCAAACAGCCTCTGGATGGATGAGGGTTCATCCTTCTTGATGCTGAAGATCTGGGACGCCGGAGCCCATTGGCACCTGGGGCCAGAGACAGTTCAGGGGTGACAAGGCTGTCACAATGCCTGGAATTAACTCTCGTTTTGACCCAGAGCGTCTTGCAGAGGACAGTGATTGATTACTCCTGGCACCAAATATTTGTGTCCTACCACTGAACTTGGGCAGTTCTACTGGTTCTGGTTGAACTCTGCTGCTGCAGTGGGAACTCTGTTAGCATGGTTCTCTTCTCTAGGGAGTGCAGATCCATGGGTGGCTGTGATTCAGCTAAGCCAGGCTCAACTCCAGGAAGCCTTTCCTGCACCCAACAATATCCCTGTGTTCCTTTCCCAAACCCAGGGCATGGAAATGGAATCTAACAAAGCCTGGCCTGGAGGCACTTCCCATGGCATTGACCAACCACAGCTGCCCAGGGACCCACCTTAGCTTCTTGTTCTGGGATCTTCTCCCCCTTCTTCCCAGCACTTTCCATTTCTTGTTTCCAACTTTCTTGACCAAGGACTTTTTTGGGGCTTTCCTTATGTTTTGAAGCTGTAAACCAAAGGTGGCCATTGGTGCCCATCATCTGGTGGCACTGCTTGCCCTGCATCTGATGCCACGTTGGTGGGATCAGCCTGAGCCCCAGGCTTTCATCCTCCATCTGTGGGGTTTCCACACACCTCAGCTGGATGGTGGGAACAGCCCAAACCTCTCCCCAGAGCCTGGCCAGGACCTCCCTGCTCCCAGGGTGCTGTGGCTGGAGCAGCAAGTTTGGGGAGTAGCAGGACAGCCTTGCTGCCAACATGGAGCATCCAGCCAAGCACTGACCCTGGGGCTGGCTCTTTCCAACCCCCCTCGCCCTCGGAACATTCCTGCCCCTGACTTGTTTTTTCAGGTTGTGCAGGATCCCCAGGTATTTACAAAACACGTCTCCACTTCCAGCTGCATTCACGGCTCTGGGAGGGGCTTCACCTTCTGCCCTGGTGGGGACCCTGTGTCACCGTGCCCACACAACCCTGGCAGCCCCTTTGCCATCTGGGCTCTCTGCACCACGGTTCCCAAACCAGAGCTGC